TTTGTGTCTCCAATCTGCACTCACCCTCATTTACAATGATATGAATTTTTGTTCTTTGATGCCTGCTGATACCTCATCCCTTCAACACCTCGTGGTCGCACAGGCTGGTGTGCTTCTTCCATGTGGACTTTGTTGCTTCTCAGCTAGATGGCCATTTGTTTATCTTCAAGCATTTAAGACCCCAGATGCTATGTCTTCTGATAGCTGGGCACTATCAGCTTTCTTCACCACATTTGCTTATGCACCCATTTGTCTTCAGTGATCACATCTATTTGGCAATTTTACCAATTGTATTTTGGAAGAATATTTTATTCTACCGAAGTCTTGTTTTTTTCTATAGCATTTCTAATTATCTCCTCTTTCTATACTTTTCTGTACACTATTCATAGCTGAGGCATATTCCTAAGAATGTACCAAACAAAATCAGTTATCATCAAGTCAAATCCAACTTAAAACGACCTGATGTCTTACAGTGGAGGAGGAAGGCTCTTTGTAGATTGTCTAGCCTTTCTGATTTGGTGCTTCTGGATGTACAAACTACTTATACAGGAATATCCTAAGTAATGCTTGATCACTGTCACCAAGTAAAAGGATATGTTTATCCATTACTACATAGACAACAACAAGAAGGACCACACTGCCCCCAAGTCTAGTCTGACTCTTGGAGCCTCTGTAGGGCACAGTAGAAGTGCCCTGGTCAGTTTTGTGACTGTGACTCTTTTGCTTTCTCCCATGGAGCTGCTGGGCTAGTAGTTTCAAACTGCTTATCTTAGTTTCAAACTGCTTTGTCTAGTTACTAGCAGTCCAATGACTGCAATGGAGCTGATTCCGATTCAGAGTGACCCTATAACACAGAGTAGAATTGTCCCTCTGAGTTTCTGAAACTGTCATGCCTTTAAGTCAGCTCTGGCTCATAGTGGCCCTATGAACAACAGAAGGAAGAGGTCCTGGCAATCATTGCAATTATTCCTACGTCTGAGCTCATCCCTGCTGCCACGGGGTCAATTCATCTCATTGAGAGCCTTCCTCTTTTTCTCTACTCCTTTACGTTATCAAATCCAGGGATCAGTCGCTCCTCACAATATGTACAAAGTATGTAAAAAGTAGCACTTTAAAGGAGTAGAAAGCCCCATAATTCTTTTTCCCCCAATAGTTTTATTGGCACATAATTTACATATCATACAATTGAATAGTTCAATTATTAAATCGTATCATATCAAGGGGAATCGTACAACCAGCACCACATCTACTTTAAAGGATCTCCCTCATATCACTTTACCATACTCACATTGTCCAGAGCATAAACATATGATCACCTCTAATTGCAACATTAACTGCTTGTGATATGCAGATGACACAACTTTGCTGAAAGTGAGGAGGACTTGAAGCACTTGCTGATGAAGACAAAGGATTACAGCCTACAGCATGGATTTTGACTCAACTGGACCATTAGGGAACATCATCATAAATGGAGAGGGATTGAATGTATATCCTCATAGTCATTTTGTAGAGTTATTTACTTGGACTAAGATGTCAAGGATTTTGTTTTGCTTGCATCCACAATCAATGATCTAGGAAGTAGCAGTCAAGAGAATTTATAATACAGTGCACTAGGTAAATCTGCTTCACAAGATCTCTTAACGTGTTGAAGGGCAGGAATGTTACTTTGAGAAATAAGGTGTGCCTAACCCAACCCATGGTATTTTCAATCACCTCATATGTATGTGAGAGTGGGGCATTGAATAAGGGAGACTTAGGAAGAATTGATGCATTTGAATTATGGTGCTTGTGAAGAATATTGAAAGTACCATGGGCTGCTAAAAGAATAAACCAATCAGTCTTGGAAGAAGTACGGCCAGTCTACTCATTAGAGGCAAGGATGGTGGAACTGTGTCTCCTGTACTTCAGATATGTTATCAGGAGAGACCAGTGCTTGGAACAAGGACATTATGCTTGGTAAAGTAGAGGGGCAGCTAAAAAGAGGATGACCCTCAACATGAGGAGTGACACACTGGCTGCAACAATAGACTCAACACTCTGTTCGTTCAGTGGATGGTGCAGGACCCAGCACTGCTTCATTCTGTTCTTCCTAGGGATACTATGAGGCAAAACCGACTCAAAAGCACCTAACAACAGCAATTGTAATGCAGTGTATTTGTGAATCCAAAAGGCATGGGTGGTGAGCCACAGCACTAGTGACAAATATACATAGAACAGAGAATAACTTTATTCTCACAGTCATTCTATAGAGGAACTTCCTTGGGTCTGGTGGCTGGAGTCCAGGAAAAGTGATTCAGGAGAAGAAATACCCTCTCCCCGCATACATACACCCTGAATTGTCTACTTAAATGGAAACCTAAAAAAGGAAAGGGAAAAATTACCTAATAAATTATAAAATTGTCAGGGAATTCTGGGGTCTTGGTGAATAACTATAGGGAGTCTGAATACCAAAGGCCAGATGTTCATATCAAGATAAGTAATGTAGGGAACAGATTTTAGGTACTTTGGTCTGTTCTGTAATGATATATGAAAACTATTTATTACTTGGAAACATAAAGGTCCAAATTGTTTTATCCATTTTTAAAGTTGTAACCTTGGTGTAATTTTTTGGATTGTACTTTTCTATCGAAATCGTTTTTATGACACATTAAAAAAACAAATTTTAAGTACTTTAAAAGTCTCTATTTCTATCTTCTTACACTGTTTTTTTCAAAGGGAAAATGAATATTTTTAATATGTTTCTGTAATGCTGTTAAAAATATATTGTTCAACAAGTGACCTCATTCTATCAATACTAGTTTGCTAATATTGGTTAAAAATGTGTTCCACTAGTATCTCTGGTTTTATTTTACATGTATCTAAAATTTATGTTACCACGGCAAGTATATTGCTGATCCTAACTAGTCTAAAACTATAACATTTTAAAGACAGGTCGACATTTTTTTCAATGTGAAAATTTTAAAGTAAATACCATATATATTCGTGAATAAGCCAAAATTTTCAGCACATTTTAATGCAGTTTTTGTGGTAAAATCAGGTGCCTCAGCTAATATTTGGGTCAGCTTATACTTGAGTATATACGGTATGTTTGTGAACCAAAGAACCATGGTCTGTCTTCAAACCAACATAAATATGTTTAGTTTGATTTATAGCTTTCCATGCTAAGCATTTTCCCCAGAACTGCTTTTATGTCCTTGTTTCTAAGACTGTATATAATGGGATTCAATAAGGGAGGCAGCACGATGTAAAATACAGACAAAATGAGATCTAGAACTGACTCTGTGTCAGAGGGTGGTTTAAGGTAGTCCAAGGAAGCAGTTAGAATAAACAAGGTCACAACCAATAGATGAGGAATGCTAGTGGAGAGGGCTTTGTTTCTTCCTTCTGAAGAGGAAATCCTTCGAACAGTGGAGAAAATATGGACATAAGAATACATTATAGACACAAAACAAACTATTGTAATACTCAAAGAAAGTGCGATGAGGCTAATTTCTTTTATGTTCATTCTGGAGTCTGATATCAAAATAATTTGTGGAATATCACAGAAAAATTGATAAATTCTATTGGAAGTAAATGTTACAGAAAATGTCGCTGCTGTGTGCATTCCTCCAGAGATCCCCCCACTGATATAGGAAGCTGCTACCATGTGCCCGCAGGCCCCTCTGTTCATGATGACCTCATAGTGTAGTGGACGACAGATGGCCACATAACGGTCATAGGACATCACCGTTAGAATGGCTACTTCAGTGGAAGCAAAAGACATGCAAAAAAATACCTGCAAAATGCACTCAAGGAAGGATATTGAGCTTCTATGCATCAAAGAGTTATGAACAAGTTTAGGAACAATGATGGAGATGTAGCAGAGGTCTATAAATGACAAATTCTTCAAGAAGAAATACATGGGAGTTTGAAGTCGAGGATAATAAGTGATGAGGAAGATGATGAGTCCATTTCCTATCACAGCTGTCAAATAAACCATTAGGAAGAAGATTCCATGCAGGATTTGCATGCCTGGATCATTGGAAAAGCCCACAAGGAGAAACTCAGTTAATCTTGTTTGATTGCTTATCTCCTTCCTTGTATCTTCCTCAAATCCAATCTGTGTGCTGCAATCATACACACTTAAGTAAGGCTGCTAAGCAGTATTCCTAAGCAGAGGTACACATTTTAATTTCTCAGTGACAGAGATTAATTGACTTACATCATAGTGCTGTTATGATAACTGTTTAACAACTAGCCCAGGGTTGGAGAAGAGAGGATGATTTACAGTGTTAACCAGCTCTTCTGGTGTAAATACAGCCATCATGCTACATTAAGTTCCTAATGTGACATCACCAATTACAGAGTTGGAAATAGATATACAACATTTCTTGCCAGGAATGAAATCCATCTCATCACTAGAAAGCTGTTAGAAAGGAAAACAAAAACTAATATATACTTAGAAATTTATTTTAGTCCTTTCTTCTGCAATAGTTGACTAAAAGTTAATGAAAATATATTATTTTTAAAATAGTGTCAGGAAAACAATTTCATTTCTATCAATTAACTCTTAGACTTTTTCAATAACCTTATACATTTTACATATTAAAATACTTGAATTAAAATGTATGTAATTTAGAAAGTTCCTCTGTGTGTGTGTGTGGAGGGATTTCAAAATAAAATGAGGAATATTGTTTATCATTATTTTAATATGGGTATAAGTGAAAGAACCCAAAATTTTGGAAGTAAAATATGATTTCCATCTGAGTCTATAGTGGGTGAGTTGTTTGTGAAAGTTGCTAAATTTTCAGTCGCTCAATTTTACATCAAGCTAAGTGAAGATGATACCAGGGAATACCATGGTGATTAAGTGGAATGGGCACATATTTGATTCTTAGTGCAAAGTAAGAATTAACATTATAATGAACCCCTTAGGACCAGTGGTGACAGTGGTGATACCTGGAGGGAAGGGGGGCATAGAAAGGGGGAATCCAGCACAAGGATCTACATATAACCTCCTCTCTGGGGGATGGGCAACAGAAGGGTGGGTGAAGGGAGACACTGGGCAGTGTAAGATAAGATATAATAATAATTTATAAATTATTAAGGCTTCATGAGGAAGGGGGGGAGTGGGGAGGGGGAGGGATGGGAAAAAGGAAAAATCTAATTCCAGGAACCCAAGAGGAAAGTGAATTTTGAGAATGATGAGGACAACACATGTATAAGTGTGCTTTACACAATTGATGTATGTATTGTGATGAATTTTATGAGCCCCAATAAAATTATTTTAAAAAATAGTAGTCACTGTTTAGTATTTAGTAGGCATCACAAAACAACAAAAATTCACTGCCCTCTAGTCGATTTATAGTCATACGGCCCTGCTGGACAGAGTAACCTGTCTCTGTGGGTTTCTGAGTTTATGGGAGTAGAAAGCCTCATCTTTTTCCCACAGAGCGGCTGGTGTTCCAGAATGTTGGTCTTGTGATAGGCAGGCCAATGCGTTCCCCACCACCAACCAGCCTCCAGACAAAACTAAACATAGCAGCTAAAAACAAGGCTACAGAATCCAGACATCCCGAGGATGTGCTCCTTTTGTCACTTACTCACATAGATATTTTATGTGTTGGGTTTCAATCTCCAAAGATAGCAGTTCAAAACCACCATCAGCTCTGAGGGGGAAAGGGCTTTCTACTCCCATAAACAGTCATAGTCTTGGAAACGCACACGGACAGTTCTACCCTGTCCTCCAAGGTCACTATGAGTTGGCATTGACTGGTAGTGAGTAGTGAGGCAGAGATTGTTAGCAAAATTACTTTACTTTGCACAATTTCATCATTTTGTGGGAAGTATTCTAATGAACAAATTAATTAAATATCAGGAATTTAGCAGTCTTTCAAATCCTTACTCTAGTAATAAGAAGATGGAAAATTACGATGATGTTGCAGACAGTGCACATTGTAGATTTAAACTGCACAGCCAACCAGGGTGCGAGATGCCATTACCACTCCTGTTTCACAGCTGATCGTATAGAACATAGGTTGGGTGATTGCTGCTCCCTCTGCCGGGTCATCAGACACCATCATTAAATGACAGAGATTGGACTAAACTGTGTGTTCTTTCATTGCAATACTGAGGAGTTCTCAGCTAAGCCGTACCACTTGTATTCTTAGCAAGTAGGAGGAAGGATGTGGTTTAAATAACAATAAAAATAACTCATGTATGTTAAATAGAAATACTACAATATAAATTTTATAATATATGATCAGGTCACTTTGTTATTGCTAATTTATGATTTGTACTCACTGCAGTCACTCTTGCTAGGTGGAAAAACTGTGATTGTGTATTTGAAGTAAGTAAACTGAATAATGCTTAAAGTAGTGGTGCATGAGGGGTAGAATAAGAGACCATTGCCTCAATTTAGAAGCAGATTACAATTGTTTTGTGTGTTCCTTTTTATATAAACATCATCTATTGGTTATACAACCACTTACTATTTATATTTTCAGTTTCAAGGTGTTTCTTTTCTGGATAGTATGATTACTTAAGTCTTTAGCTGGCTAACATTGTGTAGGAACAGGAGGGATGAAGAAATTCTAGCTCTAAAGTTCAGGTTTCAAAAACAAAGCTACATCTCATCCTATATTAACTCTGTCCTTGACATTGACAAATACTCCTCATTTAATGACCCGCTTTCTGACTTTTGTTTGTCCTCTGCCTGAAGTCTGCCTCAATCTTCAGAGATTTAATCCATCTTATTTCTGTCATCCTTGAAAAAGGCTCATATATTCCAAACAAATTATATACAAGTAAGTGTTATCTTGGAGCTGAGTCCAACTCACCATCTCTGGAAGTACCATTTGATGGTCATTGGGATATAGATTTTTCATGCCAGGATTGCATGCATGAATCAGAAAATATACCTCAATTTCTCAGTATCACACATCACAGTGTCAACTATTGCCATGGCTTAGAAAAAATAAACCAAAAAAAAATTCTTGGAAAAATGGGCAGATGTTGCAGTTTTTTGTCAAGGGAAAATGGGTAGGGTTGTCCTCAGTTTAGTATACTTCTGAATGGCCTAGTCCACTGAGGACCAGTACTGCTTGACTCAGGTAATATTGAGACATAAACTGCTACTGATATTTTTGTATTTTTTGTGTGTGCTATTTGTTTAACAGCAGGTAAAGATGCTACAGTAGCTCTGTACAAAATCACTGATTTTCATTTTCTATATCCCAATTCTCAACTAACTCAGGGCTAAAAACTTTCCCTAGAGGATGCAAATTGTAAGCATGCCTGCTACTCTTCTAAAGGGTGGTGATTTGAGTCCCTCGAGAGGACCCTCAGAAGAAATGCCTGGGAATCTACTGCAGAAAGAGCACACACTGAAA